TTTGCACATGTCGAGGAGCGCGTCAGGCTACATTTCACTGTGTGTTATACTTGTATAACTATGCATGTGACAAATAAAGAACCTTGAACCTTGAATAGTAATAAGTAAACTGTAAGTGTGTGCATGTGAAATGGTATGACGATTAATTTATGTGCTGGTTTTTCTTGAATGACAAAGCAAAATTTCTTCGAAGGGAGACAACAAAGGCTAATCTAATCTAAACTGAACATTGGAATCATAATCCTCAGAGTTTATCCGTTCCTTTTACCAGTGCCAGCATACTTATCTAACTGCTTCGCATCACACAAAAAAGTGAAGTGGAGCTTTTGCTCACAGAGCCTCCAAGTTTTTTGTTCTCTACACTGAGTTCACACTCAGTGACAACAAAAACTGCAGAGCTGACACTGGCATCAATCAGAGCTGATTGATATCAATCCTTAAATAACTGTAATAAAAGTTTCCATTTCCCCACTTTTTTTACAGGATAATCTGATGCTGAAACAACAAAACTTGAATGTTCTTCCCCAGGCCCAATGGGGGGAGAAAAGGTTAACAATGCAGGAGAAAGTCGTCCAGTGTGTGCAGGTGGATTTCACTAATCTGATGCGGAATAAATGGTTGAAGAGCGAGATTTACAACTATGAAAATCCGGCTGTGCAGGATACTGCTGCATTCACTGAACTATTACAACCGTAATATTGCTTACTATTCAATAGTTACAAGCACATGTGACCACCTTGTGTACGTAGATTCACATTCTGTTGCACCTTTATAACAACTATAAAGGCAACCGGCATGTGGGGCCAGTCAAAAACAACCTAAGGACACAAAGTACGACTTAAATTGAAAGGTCTCCTTCGTTTACAACGCTCGACAGAACCATAACAGGCCAAAAATCTACTATATTATGGCACTATATAAGTAACTGCAGATCTTCTGACATTTCAAATGCATTTCCTGGAGTAGACTTCAGTAGAAATTCCAAAGAACGCAAATGAATATTGGACAGCCGTGATAAGCTAGCGGTTTATGGCTATATGCTAACGGATAACATTAATGAACCGGCAGGTTTAAGCTAACTTCCCACTCCTAACTATTTACCAAGCCCAGGCAAGATGCACAGAGCGCGAGCGTAACCATCCAGCGGCCGGTTGCTCCTTGGCCGCCCCTTCCTCCGCCAACCACCTCCACCCGGTCGTCGCTGTTTTGTGTGGTCTTTCTCTTCGCCCCCTTTAATGCGTTCTTCATTTCTCGCCCAGTGTCCTTCCTCTTGTCAAACAGGGTGTCCTCCTCCTTGTCGTCGTTGTCGTCCTCCTCCATACTGGCGAAATGGACGTGCTTCTTTTTAATATCGGTGTCACGCGTGACGGACGTAGACATAGCTGTCGGTCTAGCACCGAGAGAGAGAGAGTGTGTTGCTGGGAGTGATGGTGAGCTGTCACAACGCCGCACAACTGCTGACTGACTACAGATAATAAAGCGAGTCTTTTATCTCCTCCCGTTCTGGCGCCTCGTGTTTGAAGGCCGCAGTTGGTTATTAAATACACGGATTTTTTGAGTCGGACATCTTTAATGCGACGGTGACCGCAGGGTACCACCGCTGCAGCCGTGGAATCCCTCCATATGTCAACAGCTGCTGCCTGTATGGCTGCTGAAGGTTTGCAAAGATCATCTATTGGGATTGTTGCTCACTCCGTGTGTAAAGAGACACCTTCCTTTTGAATAACCTGAATATTTTTTTTTTACTTTAATTATATTAATCAGCAAGCACTGTTTTGTAATGTTATCACTTTCACCTGTGCGTTTTCGTATTATTGCAAATCAATGGACCTGGGACCTATGCAAAACCCAGAATGTCATGTGCCAAAACAGGCGATCGCTTCGCTTTGTTTATGAGCTTTTTAGTACCCTGAAGTCATGGCAGAGTAAGACCTCTGTTTCTACTGGCTGTTCACAGCTCAAGAGCACCAAATGATCCAGGGCTGCCGGTGTCCTGTCTTAGTCGTAGTTAGAAGCCTTTTCTGCCTGGCTGTTGTGAAAGCACATGGCGCCATCTAGAGTTTGTACCAAGTAAACTGGCTGAGCACAAATAAAAACCAAAGCGTGTAAGAACTTTAATTACTTGGCAGCAAAGTTGCAATAGGTCCAGGCTGCTGGGGGCATCCCACGATGCACTGTGTGTTTCTTCTTCACTCAATCCTCCCTCAGCCTAGTTCTGCTGGAGGGTTTTTCCTGTTAAAATTGAGTTTTTCCTTCCCACTGTCCCTAAAGCGCTTGCTCATAGGGGGTCATATGATTGTTGAGGTTTTCTGTGTATTACTGTATGGTGTTTTCTTTACTATATAAAGCTCCTTGAGGCAAATGTTGTTGTGATTTGGTGCTATATAAATAAAACTGAACTGACTTCAAAGACCTGAATTTTAAAAATCCCCTTTTCTCCCTTAAACATTTCAAGTCCAACATTCTTTCGTAAATTCTCAGCTATGTAGAATAACTGCTAATGCCAATGCATTAGTGCATATAAATATTATATTTGACCTTATTTATGAACTACAATTTATACAATCTTATATTTCCTTAAGAACAAGAAGAAGAATGTCTTTTAATTTCAAAGGTATTGGTAACAAGAGCTCTCAGATAAATGTCAAAGCTATTACAGATACTTGTGAAATTGTAGTTATTTAGTAAAATACTCCACTTTAAATTAACTTCTTCTAATTAAAATACCTCACGTAGCACTCTCACTGTGGTATGTTGGAGCCTGAACACCTATAAGAGAGGTTCTAATAAGAAATTGCAGTAGTTTGGCCTTGACGTAACAAGTAAGCATAGAAGAAAACATACAGGGGTCAATCTTAAATGTAAATCTTTAAAGGTTTTGCGGTGTACTTCATGTGGCAGCATGGTGTGGTTTTGTGGGAGCAGGTCTGGAACACTTGTCACATATTTTCTGATCAGTTCCGCCCATTCATGCAGAAGCATGCTGGGACCATTCAGAGAGGAGCTTGCAACAAGAAGGAGAGCAGCTGCAAAAACACACTGGACACACACGATGCACAACAAGGACTAAGCACTGTAGGAAAAAATAAAGAGCACCGCAAGCACTGTCTGCTGTGCTAGCTGTTGGGAACCTACGGTGGTTCTTACTTGCTGTGATATGAATTTTCAGTCTCCTTTTATGGCTTTGTTTTTTTATAGAATAGCAAAGTGATTGGTATCAAATCCTCTATCAGAGTTGCCCATATGCTCCGATGCTGACCCTGCATACAATGCTGCACAGAGTCCACCGTCAGAGGCCATAAAAAGATTATGAGTAACCTACACTGGTGCTGTTCCTGTGCTGTGATGAACTCTAAATCCTGACTGAATCAGGTGAACACTGTTGGGATAATATGTTACTGTGAGGCCTATATGATATGAAGGGACATGATCATTCATGACTTTGTAAAGGAGGATTTTAAATTCAATTCTAGGTTTAACATGGACTCAATAAGGAGAAGTCGATATGGCAAATGTGATATTTCTACCTGGTCTCATGCTGCGGTATTTTAGATCATTTGAAGGCTTTTCAGGGAGCCTGATACTAAATAATAACAGTCCAGACAAATATTTACATTTGTTTCATGTGTCCTAACCTGGGCAACAATGACGCCAGGGTTCCTACATATAGGACATTCATTAGCTCCACATCAGTACGTGTTCCCCACCCCCAGGCAGTGCTTTCTGACTGTTAAGAAATCCTGGTTCCTTTACTGAGATCCATAACCTAATAAAAGTGCAGAAGGACTAAATCTAGACAAATCATCTAATCACACACGCTCACACATGGGTCAAAAGAAGATAAAGATTATTAGAGAAAAACTGTGAAGGAGTGGCATGTCAGTGTCTCACAGGTTCAAAGGTATAAAGTGTTTTTGTTCATGTTCAGTTTTACTGCACTTGATTTTACATCTTGGTTAAATGAACTTCAGTGTTTTCTATGATCTATAGGCATAAATTAAAAAAAACCCAGATAACTTAAAAGTAAATATTTTTACTGTTTTTAAAATGATTAAAATTAATTGTGTTTACATACATTGCATATACTGTTGTTCACAACACATCCTGCAACAGAGGAAATGTAGACACATTCATATTTAAGAACACTTTTTGGGGAGAATACATGGAAAAGGACGGAAGCAGTAAAGATGCAGCAAATAAAGCCAGTGGCTGGATTAGATGGCAAAATAACAGCAACTAAATACTGTTAGGCTTTGGTGTGTTAACTTCAGCAGATTGTCTCAAAGATTTTGGTCTATAGTAATCACCAAGTAAAAATAAATCATGCAATTTAAAACAAAGCATCTCTTTGGTTGGCACATATCATTTCTAGAGGCACATATGACCGAACAGCTACAAAAAACAAGTAAAAGCGCGAATAGAGTGCAATGAATACATACAACAAAGCATTCATATTCATATATGGCAATGAGAAATTACTCGAGGCTCTCACAAATGAATAGCACTATGATGGCACTCCACCATAAAGAGTCATGCACATCATAAGGATAAGACATGGGATTTAAGCATAGTATTGGAAATGCGGAAGATTTCAGTCACTTTGTGCATTAAAATAAAATAAAATAATGGCAACATGTTTTTCATTGAAGAGCAAAGTTAAGACGTATTCACGGTGACAGGACAGTACAGACAAGGAGCAGAGCTCTGCTATCATCTGAGGTAGCGGGTCACAGGTCTGCAGAGGGAAAAAAAAACACTGACCCACAGCATTTCTATGATGGAGATTCATTTCCCCGGCGGCGTGAGTTTTCCAAATATGCAGTCCACCACAGTCAGTGATGGGTGACATCACTTGGTTCACTGGCACTACATAGGGGGCTTTGGGGAGGCGAATGAGGGCAAGCAAACACACTTTCAGACATTTTCATTTGTGCACAGTTTGGTCTTCAGTCAGTTCATTTAAGGCTTTTAACAACATGAAAGTCTCCAGAAGTGAAAAATAAATAAAACACAAAACAGATACCTTTCTACTGAATGTCACTGAACTGGACAGAGTTAATAATTAATGGGACTGATGGTCACATAGTCAATTATTAGTTAGACTCACGTCCACAGTTCAAACAGAGGCGTCTCTGAAATGATTCAGTAGAGTGAGTAAATCATACAGAGGTGAAGGAAAATGCACAATGTTTTGTGGGGTTTTGGGCCATTTAAGAGATCATCTGACATGAACCAGGTCAACTGTTAATGAATGCTGCACAATTTAAGTATGAACTCAAATGTGAGAGAAAATTACAAGAAAATGAACAAAAACGGTCCCCATCTGGCAGTAGGCTTTAACAAAGGGATGAGGATTCAATTAAAAGGTAATATCTTCCAATTTCTTCGAATGTGCCCACTCAGCATGTTGCTAAAACAAAACCCACTCATGCCCTAACTTGGCCAGTGACCTAGAGTTCAGTTCAGCTCTTCATCCCGCTGTCTTTGAAAGAGCAAAGTAATCAACAAACTGATGCAGTACATCAGATACGCATGGCTAATGTAAGTGGTGAATGTCTTCTTATGTGCTGATAGGCTGAAAGCAGTCAACAAAGTTTTAAACAGATATGACTTGATGATAAGTGAACTTTCACAGTGGCTAGAAGTCCTATTTTTCCTACTCCAGACTAATGTTTTCTGCTTGCTTCCAGTCTCTGTGCCTTTTTTAGGATAACCAGTTGCCACATATTTACTTTCTAAAACTATTTCTTTAAATATAACATCTAAAACACTGAGGAGGTTTGATTTAAAGCAGCCTCTTTGAATGAATCAGTCACAGTACCAGATTAACTGATGACACAGTTGCAGGGGGCTTTTTAGAACCCTCTCTATGCTTTCATGTTTGTATAATGTGATCATTAATAATTCAATAGTGGTAATTTTGGAAACACAGTGCAGCATAAATTCTGGGATGCTCCACAGCATGGGATCAAGAGTGGATAATAACCTTAACCCCTTAAAGCCTGAAATATAAAATAATTGCAGAAAATTCTTGTTTACTGAACCATCAGACAAATTTGTTTAAAAATTAAGTACATTTTAATTATCTTATATGACTTTTAATTTGTACCATATATTTGCTACCTCTGGTATTTTAAAAAATGTATTGTGCAGTTTATTTTGAATTTTTCAAGGGAAAGAATTACGGGCTCAGTGAGGTGAACTTAGAGCTTTTGGGTGCCAAGCTCTGCTTGGTGAGTTAAACAGCCTTTAAATGATCAGATTTCCTAGATCCAACCTCGGAAGGGAAGCTGGGTCAGCATCTCTGACAGGACATATTTTATTGTGCTTCCCAAAGCTGCATCCTTACAAGCACCTCAGATTTACAGCTCAGATTCCAGAGTCAGACAGAAAAACCTAGACTTTTGAGAGCACTTCTCTGAGCCGATAGTTACTGTGTGTCTTTTTAAAGACCAATCATTGATTAGGGATGCACTGACTGTCAAAAGGACCGATACCAGTACAAATATCAACGGTAATACAGATACTGGTACTGATACAGATATTGATGTCTTAAAGAGCATCTGGAAGCCTGCAGATAACAGTATTTGTATTCGTTTTTGTTGTTATCTAGTTCCCAGTTTGGTCCAGGAAAACAAATATAGCATATTGTTTCATTTGTGTCAGGGTTTTTTTTCAGCTTTTGTTAACTTTTAGGCAGGACATCAGTAT